TCAGTGGACCTCAGATCCTTTCAATGGGTACCTGACCCTGCTCAGTGGACCTCAGATCCTTTCAATGGGTACCTGAACCTGGTCAGTGGACCTCAGACCCTTTCAATGGGTATCTCACCTCTGCATCTTCACATACCGAATTCCTTAAGCCACTCACAGCTCGAGGGGATGCAGCAAAACTGTGCAGTTCCCTTCCTTGTTCACAATGTGATGAGTAAAATTTGTTCTTACTATAGAGCTCAGAACCACGGCAGGTGGTTGATTTTTATAGAGTCAAGAAATTCCCCTTTACACTTAAAGGAGGAACTTCACGGATTTTTTGTGGCAGGTCCAGAAACAACATCATTACTCCCAAATTTTGGAGCCATTATTAAGTGAAATAAGGGTTACTTGAGCGGTTCCACTACATTCATCTGAAAACCAAGACAACTACTAAAAGACTAATGGTGAGTAGCACATACAAGGTGGAGATGTAGACAGGGTTGGTTAGCGTCATGAACAGAAGGATGACTTACACCCTGGAGAGGACACAGGAGAGAGGCGCACAGTTTCATCGTGCTACTCAGAACAACGTACAATTTAAAACCTAGGACGAGTTTACTTCTGGAATTTTCCATTTAATGTTTTGAGGTGATTAACTAGGTCCCTGAAACCAGATGTACACTGAGACTAAGGTAGCAGGGAGGCCTACCAATATCGAAAACCACAGTTACCCTATTGAAACAAAATTCTAGGAAAGATTATCAACTTAGTATTTCCACCAAATACTCTAAAGGTTTCAGGGCTCAGTGAACACTTAATTATTCCTTTTGTTAAGTATTAGATATATAACTAATTGATGACACAAAACTATTAATTACACCTACTAATTAATGTGTATTTCACATCCCACTTGCAAGAAATTTAAGATCTATAAATTGTTAAGGGTGAGCGGGTGGTGGCACACGCCTTTAATCCCAGCACTAGGAAGGTAGAGCCAGGCAGATCTCTGTGAGTTCAAGGCCAGCCTGGTCTACAAAGCAAGATCCAGGGCAGGCACCAAAGCTACACAGAGAAACCCTGTCTCGAAAAACCAATAAATAAATAAAAACTGTTAAGGGTGATTTGTTGAGGACACAGACAGTTATCATATTTAAGTTACTGTACTAAATGTTCACAGATTTAAATGATAATAATGTATTTTAAGCAGCAATGATTACAGTGAATACAATACAATAAATGGCCAACTTAGTCTCCTGATTTCCTAAGAATTTGCCTGAGTTACCTCCACATAATAACCCTGAAAGTAAATATTTCACTTTACAAGGGAAAAAAACCAAGACCTGGAGAAATCAAGTAATGTGTTCAAAAGCAAAAAGCTAACAAAGAAGGAACAAGGACTAAGTTTCGGGTCGGTCTGGGTCCACCCACTATAGTGCATATGGCAGTTCCCGAAGAACGGGCATTTTCTTGGTTGACGAGTCAACTACAGCTGCTTTGTTCATTTTTAGCACTCTGTCCTTAATATCAGGTCCAGCAGAATATCAGACCACATCAAAGCCAAAGCCTGGTTACTTCCTTATGAGTATGACTTGAGTCACCGGGCTCAAATATCACAGTCATAAAGTAAACTTACTATAACTACAAATAAAAGTAGAAAAATGAAACGTTCTCCCAAAATTCTAGCTGAGGTTCTGGTTTATAATAGTGTATTTACTACATGCTCTATTACAAAGTTTTCAGGAGCTATGTATACATCTGTATATACATATTTGTTATTTTGAAGTTTCTCTAACGGGATAAACCTCCATGGAGCCAATTCTACAGTATTTTAAATCCATTATAATAATAAGGGGGGAAGCCCCTCCCTCTCAAGTCAAAAGGGTAAGAAAGACATTCAAGACTGTTGTGGGCCAGAAGAGGTACTGCCTGATACATCCTTGGGGAGATAAGTGAACCCTGCCACAGTAGCCAATTAACTATGCATGGGGTTTCAGTGTCAGGCCAGGACACAAGCCAACACCAGCAAGCTAAACAATGACACCCCCACCAAAGGCAAGGCAGCGTTTTGTCTAAACCACACTGTTGGGAGTATCCATTTCCTCGTGTCCCAACAGTTCCCACAGCTAGGATTCAACCCTGGCTACGAAACTAAAATTGATTCCAGTTTCTAAAACTCAGTAAGTCCACCACTCTGAACGTGGGAACGCGCGCGCGCGGCAGGGCTAGAGAAGCATCCAGTCTGTGGAATGAACTCCCGAAGAACAAGCTCCTAGATGGGCAGCACGTTCCCTGGCCTGCCTGTGCCTCGGTTTCCTTCACTGTGACACAAGACAAGTAAGGGCGCCCTGTGGGTTGGACCCAGCCTTCAGAGCTCTCCCAAAGGGCTAGGAACCGTCTGGGTAGCACGTGGAAAGCGATGTGCGGGGCCGGGTGGTCGGGGCTCCTGTCACTGCAAACCCAGGCCACTCAGGCCGGGCAGGATTCACACCGATGCGAACGCTGGTCCGCGCCCTCCAGAGTCGCCACCCCGCACCACCTCGGGGGCGCGGGCGACCGACCGATCGCAGGGCCCCGGGCCCCCGACAGCCGGGAAGGGCAGGACCCGGGGCGGCCCCCTCCCCCGACGCCAGCCCTCACCTTCCGGGAACTCGGGCACCGCCAGGTCCCGCTCCCAGCCGTCCACCTTCTGCAGATACTGGTAGACCAGCTCGTCCCGCTCCTGCTGCGTGACGGCGTCCAGCAGGGCGTACTCGAGCGAGGTCTGCGCGGGCAGCAGGCCCGAGAGGCCCGCAGCGCCGGGGGCCGCCATGCTGTGCGAGCTCCCGAGGGCGCGGCGCTCGAGGGCGCGGCTCGGACGGACGCGCGCGCCGCCCTCGGGCCCCGGAGCCCAGCCCGGCCCGCCCCGGCCTGCGCCGCTCGCGCGTCCGTCTGCTCTCAGTCCGCCCCTCCCAGGTCCCGGGCCGCCGCGGAGCCTGGACGTTCAGAGCGCCAGATTCGACACGGGGAAGGCCGCCGGGGCCGCCCTCCAGAGGGGCCGGGGAGCCCATTCCCCTTGAAGCCCCGCAGGGTTCCCGACACGAGTAAAATTCAAACAACTATGTGCAGCTTAGAAAGCGCCGACTCAGGGAAACAGCTGCCCCACTCTTACACGGCGATCAGCCGATTCGGCGCGGCAGTGACAGCCAGAGACGGTTCCCGCCAAGACAGACCCGAAAGGTCAAGGGGTTAGGAATCCTCGGAGGAGACGCGTTGTTCCCGTAAGTGGTGAGGCCGGTGGTTTTGTGTGAACAAAAAAAAAAGGTGTAACCTGTCACTCTGGGAGTGCTGAAAGTGCCGGAGCGAATGGAGTGACCCGCGAGCGGGGGAGGTGGCGCGGAGAGGCTGCGGGCCAGGTGCGCCCGCGAGGGACTTCGGGGCCCCGAGCCGGCACTGCTTCCCCTGAGGACAATCAGACCCCTTCACGGCCTCCCCACCCGGGTCCAGAGGGGGCGGGAGGCCTGCGGGAATCGGTGTGCTTGACACCCCCCCCACGTCTGTCTGGAGGGCGCTGGCCACGCTCAGGACCCACAGCCCCTGTGGTCGGGGGGCTCACGTGTCCACGCTCAGGACCCACAGCCCCTGTGGTCGGGGGGCTCACGTGTCCACGCTCAGGACCCACAGCCCCTGTGGCCTGGGTGCGGGCTCACGTGTCTGGACTTTGTTCTCGGTGCAGGGTTTGAACCTGTGGTGGAGGAAGAAGTGGAGCGACCCGGGCCATGCGTCACGAGTCCACTGGGCAGTTTGTCACCAGCGCCTCTGAGTCTGGCGTGACTGGTTTCGTGGTGGACACGGAGCCTGTAGAAGATGAGGCTGTCGGGCCTGTACTTCTCACGCGTGCTTAATCACTCTTAGTTTTATGAAGTCTTGGGAAAGAAAAAAAAGAGAATGCTTGATGAAACAGTGTCACAGAAAACGAGGCAGGCGTTAGCCTGTGGTAGGTCCTCTTAATCTGTGTGTTCACGGGTACTAAGTGTGCTGCCCGGCAATATAATCATCACCAAAGGTTTAGATTCCAACCAAGTTACTTGGCTTTTGGTTAATTTTTTTTCCTATTAAAAAATTGAAGCAAGAAAAGGAGTGAATTTACTAAAGACTAATGTACTCATAAAACCGGTTTGCCATGTTAGAAGACACATTTTGGGAAGAAGACATCTGGGAATATAAATCTAAAAGAAAACCAAAACCAGCACAGCCAAATAATTGTTCTCAAAGTAATCCAGAATCTGTTGGAAAAGCAACAGATGGAAAATACCGGTCAAAACGAAAAAGGAACAAAAAAGGAACCACAGAAGATAAAGACAAGCTGAAGGACCACAGGGCGTGCCTTGGAGAAACAGACTGTCAGCTTTCTGTAGGTTCCAGTCAGAATTCAAGTCATAGCAATGAGATTCCGCAGTCTCAAAGCAAAGAGACTACTCCAAGAAAGCTCAGTAGAACTCATAGAAACAAACACGTGTCCCCAAAGGTCCGCCCGGTTTATGATGGACACTGCCCAAGCTGCCAGATGCCCTTTTCCTCACTGATAGGCCAGACGCCCCGGTGGCATGTGTTTGAGTGTTTGGATTCTCCACCAATCTCTGACACAGGTAAGAGAAGCCCCGGGACCTTCCTGTTGCTGCCTCCACAGTACTGGGATGACAAAAACGTGCTTGTTTATTGAAGGGCTGGTGGTCTGAACCCAGGCCCTGTGTGCACAGCAGGCACTTCATTGGCTGAGCCAGCATCCCAGTGTCTCACATTGCAGTATCCCAGTTACTTCCCGTAAATGTTCACTAAGGACTTTGACTCTGCTTTCTCTTACTTGACTCTTACAAGGACCATAGAAGGTAGATGGTATCAACATTTTATGCATGAGGATTCCTACAAGTTAAATAACCGGGCCAGTTTGCTATCCCATTTTAGAATTAGATAGGAATTATAAACACATTTGGTTTCTAAATATGGGTATGTTGTATTCATCATGCGTGTTAGCCGGAAGAGGAACTAGAAGGTTGTCTGAGATGACTCAAATTCTCATAAAAATGTGCCAGCAACAAAAGTGATGCCATGTTTTTATTATATTTTAACATAAATGTCATATTTAACATGTAGAAAATTCTACTTGGATTACATGGAGAATGAGTTATGACTATTTGGGTTTTTTTATCTCAAATTTTCTTGTGAAGAGATTTGAAAAACAATCTAAACTTACCTGGTTTAAATGTAATAAATGGCGCCTCGTAAACTAGGTCGGATTAATTTTTGGTGTTTTGATCTTGGCAGCAGCCATCGCTGTTGCCCTAGTTCTTAAAGGTGGCCCGTGGGTGGCCGGGCGGCGGGGCCCACGCCTTTCACCTCTGCACTCGGGAGGCAGAGGCAGGCGGATCTGAGTTTGAGGCCAGCCTGGTCTACAGAGCGAGATCCAGAACAGCCAGGGCTACACAGAAAAACTGTCTCAAAAAGAAAATAAAATGGGACCAATGGTTTTTGTGCTTAGAGGTTGCTCTGGTGGCACTGTCAAAGTTACTGTATAAAATGCTTCTTTTTTAAAACTATTTTCAGAGTGTCCCGAGGGTCTTCTATGTACCTCCACAATTCCTTCTCATTATAAGAAATACACTCACCTCCTGCTTGCTCAAAGTAGGTCTAGCAATGAGCCTCTCAGCAGCCCATCGCTCGTGCTGGCTGGACATTTCACTGCAGCACAGCCAGACTCTTCTTGTAACCTTGAGGAAAGATGGCCTGCGCATCTGAAAACGGAGAACTTAACCAAAGTTTTAGATGACTCTTTGTTGATGATACAGTGTCTACAAACAGCACAGCTTCCAGCTGAAAGCAACAGAAAGAGTCCCTCTTGTAGGAGTTCTCAAACTTCACCAGTTCCACAGCGTCCAGAGTTTGTTGAGAAGGACGAGCCTGTGGGAGGTGGTTTGCCTCTTGCCGAGGACGCATTAAACAGCCAACGTGGCTCACAGAGCACGAGTTTGCCATCACCAGGAAATGACAGTGGTGGCTGTGAGATCTCCTATTCTCCACTGCAGAGCGATGAAGAGACCTATGACTTAGACCAAGAGCTGGACGATTCACAGCAGGACCTGTTTTTCACCCAAAGCTCTAAAGACAGCAGCCTAGAAGAAGAAGGCTCTGCCATGTTTGAAAAATTCCATGATCCCTTCCCAAAGGCAGGAGAGGGCATCTGCCCCGTGGCAAAAAGCCGGGCTAAGTCCAGTGGATTGTATAAAGGTCGTGTTCTGCATGACTCATTCCAGCTTCTCTCCTACACACAGAGCAGGCTTTCCCAAGATGACCTGCCATCCACAGACGCTGGCTTTCTCTTGTTTTCACCTGCATTAGCTTCTAACTATCAAACCACCAAAGCTAAACCTGCTGAGCCAGAATTTCCCTCACTTGGATCGAGTCATCAGAGACAGAAAGCTGAAACATCAGCTGTTGGCCATCACACTTCTCTGCCGTTACGTACAAGTGCCGTGTCAAAAGCACTTGGAAAGGAGGGTGGAGAGGGCCTGCCTTTGCACCCCACCCAAAGCCAAGTTAGAGGATTACAGAGTGCGGGCTCTGGTGCTGCCGTTGCTCCCTCAGAGTGTGCCTGCAGAAAGGCAGAACAGCGTCCACTTCTTGCCAAATCTTTGAGCATGTTGCCTCCCAGTCCCAAGTGCAATGCGAGCCAACCTTCTAAGAAAGTAATGAAGCAAATGGATATAGGTGTGTTTTTTGGACTACCACCCAAAAGACAAGAAGAGACGTCACCAAGGAAAGGTGCTTTAGAAGGGCCGAATGTCAATCCAGTCGTGAGTCCTAAGGAAAAGAGGCCCCGACTGTGTAAGAGGAAAGCAGAACACTCTCTAAGTGACTCAGAATTGGATTCAGGGAATTTAAATGAGAGTCAGCACTCTATGGAACTGTTTGGAGAGAGGGCCCAACATCGAAGAAAGAGACATAAAAAGTCAAAGTCACCACGGCAAGGGACAGATCAGAGGAGGTCTGGTCACCTTATCAAAGATCCAGAATTGGGAGCAGTCGGTTTAAATAAGAGCAAAGCCTTTGTAAGACGGACTCATGGCAGGCCACAGAGAGGGAACGTGAACATTTCAGAGTCATCTGGTGCAAGGGAAGTGAGAACATGTCCGTTCTATAAGAGAATCCCTGGTAAGTAGAAATACTAACTTCAGCTTCTCAGCAGACACACAGCAGTGTTTAACTCCACCTTCCTTGTCGTTGGGTGGATAGATTCGAAATAATTTGTGCACAGTGTATGTTTTCTTTGCTCTTTATGATAGTTTAGGAGTCTTTTAACAGGTTGGGGCTTTGTTTTTTTAATTTTTTCTTCATTATCACCAAATTTTTATTAAACATTTATTTTATATATGGTGCTATAATGATTAGGTAGCTATTATAGATTATAGAAAGGCCAGTGAACAGTGGAGATTCCATTTAACCTGAAAGAAGGTAAGACATTGGTGCAAACATAATAAAAGCCAGTTTCTAAGCATGTTGAGGATACACAGTGCTCAGTGGTCTAAAAGAAGGGAGTATAGCAAGCTGGACCCACCATGAATGCCAGTTTTAGAGCAATATCAGGATTTAAGTTTTCCTGGTTTTGTATATTCCGAATGGATATCTGCCTATGCCTTCACAGATGAGTTCATAGAAGAGTGTGCAGGGAAGTGAATTCTATTCCTAAAGACACCACTAACCTTTCAACAGTATACAATAAAACAACTACCACTGACCCTTCAACAGTATACAATAAAACAACCACTGACCCTTCAACAGTATACAATAAAATAACCACCACTGACCCTTCAGTAGTATACAATAAAACAACAACCACTGACCCTTCAACAGTATAAAATAAAACAACCACCAACCCTTCAACAGTATACAATAAAACAACCACCACTGACCCTTCAACAGTATACAATAAAACAACCAC